AAGCCGCGATTATTTTAATCGCGGCTTCATTTCCCTCTTCCGATCTGGCTAATCTACATGCCTCCGTCGAAGGAGGCATGTAGTCTAGACACACCCTCAGTGTGGTTCACTGACCAATGCAGCGGCACCTAGACCACAGCAATAGGTAAGATCAAGAGATGTCTACAGCAGGGGCTGGGAGCCAGCTGGCTTTTAGCTCAGAGGCTACGATTAGACTGGCATGATTTTCCGCAAATGCTTTTAATGGAAAAGTTTTTCCGTTAAAAGCATTTGCGCAAAAGAGCGTCTGTGCCAATCTAGACGCGGTTTTGCGCAAGAAAGCCTCGATCGCCGTTTTCGCCATCGGGGCTTTTCTGCGCAAAACACTTTTTAGCTGTCTACACTGGCCCTCTTGCACAAATACATTTGCGCAAGAGGGCTTTTTCCCGAATGGGAGCAGCATAGTATTTGCGCAAGAACACTGACAATCTTACATTAGATCGTCAGTGTTCTTGCGCAAATTCAAGCGGACAGTGTAGACAACTGGCAAGTTTTGCTTTTGCGGAAAAACTTGCCAGTCTATACGTAGCCCATGGGTAGAGGCGCCTATACGCAGCTTCAGAGATCCCAGGTTCAAATCCACCCAGTGGAGGTTACACAGGCATGAATACAACACAAATGAAGCCTCACCTTGCACTTCCCCAGGATAAAAGCTCCTAGTGTGACAAGCCTCAGTTTACTGGGAACCACCACCACATGCTGTTGGAGCTTCTCTGGTATGGCAAAGCCATCTTCTTCCACTCCGGCCGGGGAACAAATGGATTCCTGCTTTGGTGTGTTTCTGTCCCAGGTTTCATCCACCACAGTGATGCTCACGGGCTCGTGCAAACTGATATCGGCCAACCTCGTTACTCCTGCACCAAACAAAACCCACAACACATGATGCCTACTCTTCTCTGAAAGTAAACTGTGGGAAATTGTTCCACTTTGTCTCCTTGAATTTTAACATCATAGGGCCGTGGTCACCAACCGGTAGCTCGCGATCTACCGGTCGCTCTCAGAGGCTCTCAGAGTAGCTCTTGAGCCCTCTCTGAACTGCGCGCATGCGCAGTACCTTTACATTAGATTTCCTCATTTGAGGAGCAGCTACTCACCGAACAACGCCAACGGTGAGTAGATGCAAGGAATGGTGGGAGGTTGGAAGGGCTGAAAAACCCCAACCAGCTGGCTGTGGGTTCAGCCCGGAGGAGGCTGCCCCGCGCTCCAGCTGATCGGCGGCTTCCCTTGTGCACCAGCCCACGTGGAGCGTGGTGCACCCGGGCTGAGCGCCGTGGCCAGGC